TGTCTTTCATTGTCAATTTCTTCTGTATTACATCATCTTTATTGGCAAACAAATATATTTGTCTCACTTTTTTTAAAGAAATAAATGCCTTCTATTTACTCCATTTTTTCTCTAGTTCCAATTTCCAAGTCCTCTTTACAGCAAAGCTCCTCAGAATAATTCTTCACTCACTGTCAGCAATGTCTCTCCCTCTACTTGATTTAAAATTATTACTGGGATATATTTCACATACCACAAAGTTCACCACTTTGAAGAGTAGAATTCAATGACTTCTGCAGTATTACAAACATCCACAATGTTATGGAACTATTAATACCACTTCTAGAACATTTTCATCCTCCCCAAATAAACCCTATACTCATTCAGCTATCCTCATTCACTTCTCTCTCCCAAACTCTTGAAAAGTCCTAATGTACTTTCAGTCTTCATGGATTTGCCTTTTGGGGGACATTTTATATAAATAGAATTATGTATTTTATTCTTTTGCATCTAGTTTCTTTAACTTACTTTGATGCTTTTCAGATTAATCCTTGTTGTAGCATATGTAAGACTTCATTACTCATTATAGTTGAAGAATATTTTTTGTATGCAGGTAGTAGATTTTGCTTTTCTATTCATCACTTGAAGAATGCTTGGGTTTATACTTCTTAGATATTATGAATAATGGTGCTATGAATATTTATATTCCCATTTTCTGTCTGTCTTTTTGTAGTAATAAGATTGAACATAGAATCTTCATACTGAGTTACATCATCATCTATTTTTTATTTTGAGGCAGGGTCTCACTAAATTGCTAAATTGCTCAGGTTAGGATCAAACTTGTGATTCTGCCTCAGTCTTGTAGGCTGTTGGAATTATATGGTTAAGCTGACACACAGCTAGCATTTTCTCTTAAACATGTTCTACACAAGCTTTAGTTCCCTGCTGGGTCACAGAACATGGTGGTAGGTGGAGTTTCAACTTGATTGGTTTTGGAATCTTTCCCGGGGATTAGTGTATTTATAGGTATATCTGGGTGGGCTATGGAGGCACCACTTTTGGGTCTGTGTCTGGTCCCTCACTGTTTGCTCTCTGGCATGCTTCTGCCATTTTGCTTCCCTTATGCCAGGAACTAGCAGCTTTCTCTGCCATACCCTTTTGCTATGAGGTTTCTTCCTTGGAGCCAGCTGATCCTGGCCTGAAACCATGAATAAATTAAACCTCTCCTATAAATAAATTGTGGGTTTCAGATATTGAAGTAATAAAAAAATCTGACTGATATGTAGCACCTGTTCTCCAGATAAATAAGGATCTTCGTAGCACAAAACTAAATGCTCAACTCTCAGTCCTATCTTACTAATGAGGAGTATCTGACAAAGTAAAACATTCTTTCCTTATTGACTCACCTATTTTACTTGGTGATACCATCTGAACATATTCCTTCTATGGTTTATATCTAGATCTTCTCCCAATACCTCATGTACTTATACGTGGAGCTTGGGGTGTTGTACTCACCACTAGATTAGTCCGCTGATAAAGTTATAGCTAAAATGTGATGTTGGGAGGTGAAAACTAGATGAAGTGGCTCACTGGGGGTGTGGTCTTGAAGGGTCTATCTTGTTCCTCCTCCTTTGATCCTTCCCTTCTTCCTGGCTGCTATGCTATGAGCAATTCTCCTACACCATGCCCCTCTGCCATGGAGCCAGAGTATGGACTGAAACCTCTACAAATTGTGGTCCCAAGTAAACCTCTTCTCCTTTCAGTTGTGGGTGTCAGGTTCTGTGTCCCAGTAGCATGAAACTAAAGTAATCTCCTAAATGCACATGTTGATCCCAAAATGCACCTGTGATAGCAATAAGAGGTGGATCATTTAGGAAGCGAGTAGGTTATGAGAGCTCTGTCTTCATGAATGGGATTGGTGTCCTTATAAAAGTTTGGGGAAAACACAGTAAGTTTGGGAAAAACAGTAAGATACAGTAAGAGGTGCCATCTTGGAAGTAGACAGAAGCCTTCACTAGGCAATGAACCTGCCAACACCTTGTATTTGGATGTCCTTGCCTCCAGAATTATTGTTCATAGGTTACCCAGTCTAAAGTATTTTTGTGCAGCAATAAAAAAGCAGGCTTTCAGGGCATTCTACTCTCCTAGTTTTCTTCCTGTTACGTTGGCCATTCAGTTTTCAGCCTCCTTGGCTACTTCTCCTTCATATCCCCAAATAAAAACTTTGAAGTGGTCCAGTATCAGTCTGCAAATATCTTCTCTTCCTTGTCTACACTTGCTTTCATGGGGGTCTTACCTTTTTGAATGGCTAAATACAGGTGAATTCTAAATGTCCAGTATCTCTGCTCTTTTTCAGACTCAGTCTAATTCACTACTTAGATGTCTATCTAAATTGATCATATCCCGCAACTGAATTCCTCACCCTCAGCCTCATAAACCTCCAATACAACACACCCCTTACATCAGTGATAGTGAAACTTTTAGAGTTTTCAATGATAACAAACAGCCCACTGTGGCACACTTGCCATATGTTTGCCACCACTGTCTTACATAGTCTTCCTTTCTGGGAAATAGAAACCTCAACATTCAGTTGCTCAGGCCAAATATTTAGACCTTTCTCACAAACTACACATCTAATCTGTCAACAAGTCCTGATAGCTCTATCGTCAAAATGTATTTAGAAATTTTCTGCTTCTTACTGCTCCTACTCTCTGGCCCAAATCACTGACTTTTGCTTGGATTATTGCAACAATATTCTCTAAGCCAGAGTTGAGTTCCTGAAGTTTACTTCAGAATCTGTTCTCAATTCAGAATGATTCTTGAACAATGTAAGTCAGATTACAATGTGACTTCACTCAAAACTCTTCAGTGGCTCTACCTTTTGTAGTGAAAGGCAAAGTCTTAATCGTGACCTACTGGGTGCTAGATGAAGTAGCTCTAGCCACAATTGATTTCATCACCCATTACTCTTAAGCTTTCCACTCCACTCAAATGGCTGCCTTTCCATTTCTTGAACATATTGACCTTTTTCTGCGGCAGTGCTTTTGCACTTGTGGTTCCTCCTTCCTTCCAGATATTCATATGGCTTACCTTTTCATTTTCTACAGGTCTTTGATCAAATGTCACCTTCTTAGCAACAATCTGAAATAAAATCCCCACAAGCTTGATCTCCTTTACTTTACTCTGTTTTTCTTCCACAGAACTTACCACTGTCTGAAGTGCTATCTTACTAGTCTCCTTCCATTATAATGTAAACTTCATGAACATAGGTTTTTTTTTCTGTTTTTATATCCCCAGGACCTATGAAATTGTGAGGCACTTAGTAGCTGCTCATGAACTATTTGTTCAATAAAGAGAAGAATGTTTGAATTAGTTATTTAAAATATAGTTAATACTCCAGCCATTTCTTATTGAATAACTGCATTCAACCAGTAGCTTCCAAAAATAGTCGTTTAACTATCAGCTGCAAGCTGCAAGGTGATCTGTCATGAATTTTTAACAAGATATTAAAATCTCAAAGTAGAAAGTTTCTTTCCTAAGTACAGTATAGGTTAAAATGTGGACTTTTGAGTCAGACTATTGTGGTTTTAATTCTGGACTCCTGTGCAAGTCAGGACAGGTTAACCCTTTTGTGTCATAGTGTCCTCATCCATAAAATGGTTACACTAGGAAAACCTGTCCCAGGTACCATGAGAGTCAAATGACTAGTGTATGTTAATTACACAGCCCAGTACCTAACATGTAGTAAATCCCTAGTCAACAGTAACTTTTATTACAGTTATTAAGATGGAAGAGAACTTTTTTTAAAAGGAAATTTTCAAAGGAAAATTTGCAACAGAAGCTATTAAATATATTTTTCTATGTGAAACCAGAATAGTCATCAGCTTTTTTTGTGTGTGAATGGCTTTTGTTTGGGGAATGATCTAAAATGTGAAGGTCAATTGTTTTGTTCCTTTCCTTAGGAGTCTTTCAGAAATTGGACATGTTCTTTTCATATTCTCTATATATTCACAAGAGAAGACACACTTCAAACCCTTCAATTTAATATCTCCATTTCTCACTTTCTTTAATTTTAAGAAAATTGGAGTCTGGGTTCAGATTTCATGGAATCTTTTGTTTATTCAACTCAGCATGGTGGTTAAAGATTCAGCCATTTCCTTTGTGGGGAAAATGCTTCCTGTGTGCTGGTAGACTAGCTTGCTAAATGGACTGACTTGCAAACAAGATTGTCCATGCTTTAAAAGACAAGGACAATAGTCTATTCCTGTGTCTGATACTTCCTAGTAGCTTACTGTCAGACACACTTTGTGTTAGTTCCCAGTTAAGCGAAATTATCACAGATCTCATCTGTAAGTGCCAACATGTGCCAAATTCTTTGACTTGTGTATGAACACTAAGGAAGTCCAAGCCTGTAAAGGTTCACTTTGCTGGCTCCATATTTTACAGAAGTGGCCAATGGAATGGAACTGCTATTCAGGATGTGCTTCATGGAACTTTCCACTTACATTTCAGGGTCCACCGTTTATATTTTAATTTCTCTCTTACCCACATTCACAGCAACTTATACTAGGTTGGGAAGGGTAGGTCACACATTCATTTATTTATTCATTCATTAAGCCCCTCGGGTATCAATAAATACTTGTCCAATCACACTGCTTCTTTAGTCTACAATTAGTCTCTATTTTTTTTATTTGAATGCAATTTTGCCTTGTCCTCCTAGGTATGCTGTGAACTTTTTGAGTTCAGGAATATAGACTTCTACCTCATTCCTATCTCCTACAGTTCCACACTTGATTCCTTCCTCATTCAGTCTATGCTTTTATCATTATGCTCTACAAATTGCTCTGGAAAAATGCTCTAAACCTTAGGGGTTGGGTAAAATATATTCTGTGAGTATTTTTTATTATGATGGTTAGGAGAAAATAACATGCAACACATAGCAATTACTAGGCCATTGCTCTACTGCAAAACAAAGTTAAATAAAAATTTAACAGTGAGTATGTGGAGAGTTAAAAACTTACTCATAAACAGTTGTCCATCCGTTTTCATTACTTTTCGTAGTTAGAAGTCCAGTGTTTCCTGGATATGTCATTAATGCCAGATTATATCCCTGGGCTGACACTCTTTTCAGGACTCCATTGCTGCTTATGGTCAGCCAGTACACTTGCCCACCGGGCACCACAAGCCAAAGGGGCATCCCACCTGCGTCACGGCGAATATGCACTGAATTTCCATTGCTGCTGGTAATTGCACCCAAATCACCCTCAGAATTATAGGTGAAGTTATACACATAGTCCCTTGTTATCAAGTTCAGAGTGTGCAGGTGGGTTCCATTCACAGTGAACTGGTAAAGTTCCTGATCAGCAGGTGAGGCAATTTCATAAAGGTTCACATCATTCAGGTGGGGTTGGTTCTTGCTGATGGTACGAATCCGAACATTCCCAAGGTCTGCCACATAGAGGGTACCATCAGGGGATACTGCTAAGGAGGAAGGGGCTTTCATCTTCGCATCCTTGGCATAACCACCATCACCTGTGGCAGAAAGGCCCTGATTTTAATAATTGGCATTACAAGCACTTATATGAACATACCATAGGGAGAAAGCACTGTGCATCGAGAATATTTTTAAAGGGAATAATCAGTGAACCAATATTCTCTGCGTGGCCCCCTTAACAATTTTGAAACCCATTATTCAAAAAATTGTAATTCTTGAGTCAGTACCACTAAAGATGAACAGTAAGATGTAATTATCTCAGTTACACCAATTTTGTGAAATCTTCAGTCCTGCTATTCAGACTCCATTGTATTGCAAGAAAGAAGAACAGCAAATAATGATAGCTACATAAAAGTTGGCTAGGAATACATGAAACTTATGCTTATCAATGCTTGTAGAATCTGTTTCAGGATTTTTCTAGTCCTACAACACCGAAAGGCCCATTCTTCTGTTAATCTTCATTGTCACACTGTCAAAGTACACTAAATCTATAAGTGCAACAGTGACTCAGAACATCAAGTTTGATAACTGGAATAAACATTAGACTTGCCTTGAATGAAAGATACAAATTAGTGAAATATCTATAAAACTTACTGTCCAGAAAACATTGGAAATATTGATCAGAAGTCATATTGACCCAATTTCTGGCTCTTGATTCCTGTGGTCTAAGGAAGAGCAAGATTTAAGAGGATCATTTTGGCCTGGCTGAGTAGTTTAATAGGGTGCATGTAGCGTGGTGGGATTTCCACGTCCCAGGAGTAAGTGTGTCTGTTAACATCCAGAGGTCTGTTTGCTACCTCATGCCATGATTTTTTGGAAAAGACTTCCCCTCATTTCAGTTAAAAGTTAAGACACTATTGATTATAGAAAAAGTTTTAAATTTTAATAAACAAAATATGCAGCAGACTAATTTCCTGAGAACTTTCCATTGTGGTATTTAATTTTGTCCTTCCTTCCCCAAAGATTGTTATTGGTATCTTTGAGGACCAAGTAGTACATGCTTTTCATCTGGACATGAGTTGTTTAAGGAAAGTAATTTTTGCTTAGATAAGCCAATAAAAGTGGATTTAACCTATTTTTCCATTAAAAAATACAAATAATGACTATCTTATGTTTGCATAATAGTGTCACTTTCTTTAGTGTCTATAATTTTTATTTAAATAGTTCTCAGGACAGCACGGTAACATAACAGAGAAAAGTGCTTATTGCTATTTAACAAGTAAGAAGAATGAGTGATAAAGAGGTTTTGTGACGTTCTTAGGTTCTCGATGAGTTGGCTGTCAGAACAAGTAGGTGATTTGACTCCCAACATAGTGCTTTCTCCATTAACCCACACCAGTTTACAAGGAACACTTTTGTTTTCATTTTTACTTTTTTGATACACAATTTTCATTTGACAACAGAGAGGGGGAGCTGGTGAATTGCTAAAAAGGTCATACCTGAAAAACAGTCACAGTTGGGATCAATTTTGCAGTCGCAGTCAGTGGGGGCACCAGCGATGATGGAGATCTCTCCATTGGTGGTCACTTGCTGAATGCGATTCACTTTTCTCTCGTCTGTTTCAGCTATGAAGAGCAGCCCACTGTGGGAGACGCTGATGGCCCTGGCTGACTCCAGAGTAGAATGGATTGCGACCTTGCTGACCAAGAAATGATCGATGCCTGGCACCTGGCAGTGAATGGGGCGTCCTGCAATGATCCGCACTCGCCTGTTCTCAGAAATTTGCAGCACAATGTTGTTATCCAAGACGTACAATGAATTGTCCATGGGGTTGACTGCAAGGTCTGTTGGCCACTCTAATCGCACCTGCGAAAAGAAACCAGAACTCCCACCATTAGGTTACCATATTTTTCCAGAGGCAATTTTACCTTGAAAGAAAAATTGGTTTATTGTTCCCCATTCTCTTACGAATTTCAGCAGTATTGGTGTCGGGCAGTGGAGGAGATGATTATACATATATTCTTGTAAAAATATTTGCCATTTATGCCATATATATGCCATATGTAGCAATGTAAATTTATTGCAGTAATTCCAGAAGAAGCTTCTAGAACAGTGATTTTCATTTTTCTTGTCTCTTGTTTTCATTTATTACCCTTTTTATTATTAATTTTATTGAGAAACAAATAGTAATGAGACAGTTTCAAAACTGATTAATAGGACAGTTTCAGTAATTAGTACATTGCATATTGTTGTCTTTGTAGTGGTTTACCCTTTTTTTAAAAACAAACATTTACTTGGGAGACAGTATAGCAGTAATTGTTATGACACGACAAGCAGTATGTATTTAGAAGACCAGAATAACAGGCATTCCAAGCATGATCCTAGTATCACACATTGCTATTCAGTGCAGTTGCTTAGTTCACAGGTATCAGCGTAAATAGTTAGTCAGGGTGAGAATCCTGCCAATTAACTGCTAGTTTCAAAAACATGCTGAAGATTCTCAGGATCATTGCCTTACCCATCTTGTGCATCTTTTGCCCCTGTCATGTTTCCTAGATTTTCTCCTTGTCCTCTCTTCATTGTTTAATCCTTAAATTCTCACTGTCCTTTTAATTGTGTTATATCTTTCTGTTTTTATTTCTTCTTTTGAGTTCTTACACTAGGAAGACTATGCAATATTTACACATGTGGGTCTGATTTATTTCACTTATAAGCATATCCTCAAGTGGCATCAACTTCGATATAAAGGCTTCGAGTTTATCATTCTTTATAGCTGAGAAATACTCCATTGTATAAAAATACCACATCTTTTTCATCCATTCCTCAGGTGATGGGCATCTTGGTTGTTTCCAAGATTCGGCTATCACAAATTGTGCTGCTATAAACATAGGTGCATATATATCATAAACAGTGATTTTTCAGAGCGTAGTCTCTGGATCAACAGCAATATCAGCATCATCTGGGAGCTTGTTAGAAATGTAAATTTGCAGGCTCCACCCTAGACCTACTTAATCAGAAACCTTGTAGGTGGGTATCCAGTCATCTGGTTTAATAAGCCCTCCAGGGGATTCTGAGGCCCACTGCTCCAGGACCTTAGGATTGCTACAATACACAACTCTCAATGTGCTGGAGAAACCAAAGCTTACTCAATCAGCAGCCTTTTGGGACAGAATCTTCTATTAACATAGAACCAACCTTCATCCTGTGAATTACTCAGGCACAGTTCATCAGATGTTGATTTGAAATTCTAGATTTTAGTTCTTAATTAGCTTGGCCTGGCTCACTCCAGATACCTCTACCCTTAGCAAAGAAACAGGTTGGTTTGTTCTTTCACTGGTTCTTTGCTGAGTAAATTCTCTGAGCTAAACCTCATACTAGGCTCTGGGGATTACAAAATGACTATGACACAGCCTGTGCCCTCAGATGATTTATGGTCTAGTAGAGCCCTTAGTGGAATCATCAGTATCATTCTCCATGTTGTAATGACACAGCAGAGGAAATAAGAAAACACTTCCTGCCATGAGACTAGATATTATCAGAGATTGTGGTACCTAATTAGAGGCTAAAATGACCAGTAGGAGTGGACAGGTGTGGAAATTGAGGAGGGACCAAGATTGAGGGCTATGCATATAGAGGGAACAGCATAGGCAAAGGTCCAGAGATTAGAGATAGCCTGATCCTTCTGGGTTACTGCAAATAAGTCAGTAAAGCGATAGAGGTTGAGCAAATGGAAATACTGGATGATGCACACCAGGAAATAGACAGTGACCAGATATGATGGACTAAATTGTGTTCCCTCTAAATTCATATATTGAATCCCTAACTCCCAGCATGACTATATTTGAAGATATGGGCTTTAAAAACTAAATTAGGATTAATGGAGGTCATAAGGGTGGTGCTTTAATCTGAAAGAACAGGTATCTTTATAATAAGATGAAGAAATAGTAGGGAACAGACACAGAGAGGAGTGACTTTATGAGGACACAGCAAGAAGCTGGCCACTTGCATATCAAAGAAAGTGGCCTTAGGAGAAACCAAACATATCAACACATTAATCTTGCATTTCTAGACTTCAGAAATGTTAAGGAATAAATTTCTGTTGTTTAGGCAACCTGGTCTGTGATACTGCGTTATGGCACCCCTTGCAAACTAATATGCTGGGTAATGAATGGAAACACCTGTGTAATGTTATTATGATGACTAGTGTAAGTCACTGTGGGCTTCAAGTGAAAGTGTGAGATAGCCATGCCTGGCTTTTAGACAGATCATACAGGCTGCTGAGATTGTAATGGAAGCACAAGAGAAATGGAGGTAGGTGACAGGAGGCTCCTTCAGTGGTCGAGGTGGGGGATTATGTTGCTTGAATTAAGATGGTCACAGAGGGAAAGGAGAGGATATAGATTTGAGAAGTTTTAAAAAGTTAAAAGCAAAAGGAGTGTGTTTGTATGTGTGTGTGTGCATGCGCAGGCACATGCACGTACTCGTGCACCTGTATCCAGTGTACCTCATGCCAAGTGATACATCAGGCACCAGGGACAACACAGGCTAATAAGCATGGCTCCACAGGAGTTTTCTTAGTGTCTGCCCTGATATCTTTTTGATAGTTCCTATTTATCCCTGGGCATTTAGCAGAGAACTATGTTCCATGCCACTTCCCACCTCGCTTCTCACTGGTTTCTTTCTCTTTCCTATTAGGCTTGAGAAAGGCAGAAAAAAAAAGTTCTAGTCATGGTCAGAATGCTAAAAGTAATGTAGCTACTCTTCTTTTTTGTTCTGACTGAAAGCCCCAGTAAGGTTTTTTTCCCCATGAAATCTGAAAATCTGAAAACAAGATATGAGCTGTCATTGCGTTCCGAGGCCCACTACTTCCCCAGCTGGAACAGGCCTTACATGAAGTCAGTAATGAAGTGGAAAAAGGCTGTTTCTGAAGTCTGAGCTAAAGTCCTCCCTCTCCTCTACCTGTGTTTCATAGGGGAGGGCAACTGGTGATGTTGTGAACAGGACAAAGGTCGTCTTTGACTTTCTCTTTTGTACCATTTGTACCATGTCCTTACTTCTGAGAGTTTTCCACACACCTGGTGACCTCATTCTGTGTCAGCATTTCTGTGCCCTCTACCTCCACCATAAACTGGCCTTGTCTGGTCAGTACCATGTGCCTCTGGGCAGCTAGGCATTTGAGTGCTAATGGAGTATAAAGCTCAGCTTGTGTTATGCATGTTCTACAGAGCCTTTCTGACTGAGGCCATTGGATAAACATTAAACAGAAGCCTTAACTGCTCCTGGAGCAGTTGGTGGTGATGTGCTCCTCTGCACATCTGTCTCAGGCCTTTACATGTCAGTGACCTGGCACAGAGACACAGTACCACTGACTGCTGCTGTGGAGGGCACAAACTTCCTCCGCCATATGCCCCGCCTCGCACCTCAGGCTTGCACAGAAACTGTCTTTGAGCATTGGTCCTATGGAGCACGGTCCCTCAGGAAATAACCTGGGTCTGGCTGAGGAAGTGGGAAAGAATTTATTTCAGTGCAACCCTCCTATTTTGATCAAGCCTTAAGTCAGTGACCCAGAGAAAACGAACCTGGTAGAAATGACATTCTAATTATCCCCACTCTGGGAGCTGAGGCCAGGGCAGAGGCCAGGAACAGTGCACAGACGGCAGGAGCAAGAGAAAACATATTTTGGGCTCTATTCTTGGCCATCAACGCTGCCTCTGAGATACAGGCTGGTAGTTGGGAAATAAGCTGTTAAATTCTCCAACTCTCCCAACCCTATTTAAACAATACCATTGCTGTGATGTTTATTAAATTTAATATTGCCTCCAAAATACACCAGCTACTGTGTCTGTTTGTTTTCTGTTCTATCAAATAAGCCACCCTCTGGCAGTTTCCTGTGACTAAAGTGGCCTTTGTGCTTCTGAGACACTTTCTATACCATCTACACAGAATCCCTTTGATTCCCATTTGATTTGGCTGCATGGCTTGTCTATGAAATCTACTCAGATGAAAGATGTGTGGCTACTTAGTAGTCAAGGGTGCTGGCTTTTCAGAAGATGGACCTTTTCGCCTCTTGTACATTGTCAGTTCCTTTTGTGTCCTTCTCATGTTAAATATTCCTATTTCCAGATGATTTTTCAAAGAACAAGTGATTCACACCCACACAATAGAGACACAGTGTTTACTCTCAAGGAATTTCCATAATACACAATCTAAAATATAGTATGGAGTCTTTGAGCTAATTCTGGAAGTCAATTTGAGCATCTACTTGTTGTAGACAGACCCCACAATAATATGATATTGAGATGAGCCTACGGATTACTCCTTGAGAGCCACTGGCAAATCTGTCTGAGTGGTTCCTGAGGGTAGGGATTGGAGAAGAAACTCTTCCCCTTGGGCTGGAAGCAAAAAGAGATTGATGAGTAGTAGTGAATCCCTGAAAACTCTTCCCAGGGACCTGGCCTACAGGCAAACAATTTGGCCTAAATTGTGGTGCTTGCCCTACCTTGTAAAAATACATTATTTGTTGGAAACGTCAAAATGTATTTAAGCTCAACTAGCATTAAAGGTCACTGGTGTAGCCACCAGCTGGTGGAACATTCACATCTTTGAAGAACCTTCTCTGAGAAATAACCCCGAGCAGAAAGAGGCTTTTGGTCAGGATGTCAACCCTTGACAACCACAATGTCTTGTGCTAATTGAAAACCTGCCTTGAAGGAAGTTGATTCTCAGATCATCCAGTTCCATAGTTGGTTTAAAAAGACCCAGCTAATTTTGACCTAAGTAGCAGTTTATAATGCATTAGACTTTAATAGGGAAACTCTATGTGTAAAAGCAATACATGAATACCAACCCTTGATCTGACTAGATTA